TTTCTAGCTCAAAAGGTGGACATCTCTTTTGTAAAGAAAATTAACATCACACAAAGGGGAATATCTGACATACAATTATTTGGTACTAAGTATACAGAAAATAAATTACTAATTGTTTTAGAAAAAGAAAAAGAGTAATTTTTTTGTCACCACACTGTTACTTGCAATGTTACCAATGGCATTAGATATTTGATCAGTAGTTCTTCGATTTAAAAAAAATGACAAAAAAGGCACATACAAGTAGGAAACCAATTACACACTTACGGTGCAGAAGACCTTTATAAACCATGCCCAAAGCAACAGATCCAATTAGTACCTGCACCCATGAATGCAATGAAATACTGAGAAAAATTACACTAACCAAGTAATGCTGTGAAAAAGATGTCACATTCATTTATTAGAAGTGTAAGACAAAAGGAAAACAATATTAAAATTTTTTAATGTAATCGGGCAGCCAAGAAAAAGTTGATTATTACCTTGTCAGCAAGAGGATCAAGGTAGGAACCCACCACAGAATTGATTCCCATCTTCCTGGCCAAGTAACCATCTAGCTACAAAATTGGAAAAATTAGAAGATATTGGCATCCATCCAGCTACAAGGAAGATTGGAAAACTTAGAAGATATTGGCATCTCCTCGTATCAAACATCCAATAATGACAAGACTAGAATTCCCATACCCAATCAGTCACACCAGAGATACCTAGACCAACAAATGCTGAAAGATACATTTCATGGGTGATCATCCTGCAAAGTCAATTAGAACAATACTTTATAATGGCCAAATATACAAGACAAGTTGAATAATAGAACTGTTGGTTAAGAGCACAGTTGAATAACTGAATGTAGAGGTGACTGAATAAGCATCTTACTCCTATAACACTATTCCCACATGCAATGATAAGCAAACTAGACTGAAATACTATAGTACCAACCCAACACATCATATTTCAACTCTATTTGCCAAAGCAAATGCAAACACGCGCACAAAGAGAAGATAAACCTTTCAAGGATTCTAGTACAAGCATGTTTAGGAGATAATAATGGGATACTCAGTGCTAAAATTTTGGCTTAAACTGTTATATAATGTTCCTCAAGGCCATGTGCTATCATAAACCTGATCAAGAAACAAACAATAAATAAAAGGGGGAAAAAAGGAGGAAGCAGCAAAACAAAACCCAGTAATAGAGGATTACTCACATATCCTCATCGAGGATCAGTATTGCAGAAAACAAAGATCACTATACTACTTTTGATTCCTAATGTAGTATGCAAAGGTACATTGTTACTAAACAACCGATAAATGTTGTGCAGGTTCATAATCCAACAGTCATTATTGTCTTTCAAGGTTGCCTGAAGCCTGGACTGCACTAAGAGATAAATCCTAATTTCTTAGAACGACCACTTTCTCATGTATGTTTAGCAACTAAAATCCGACTAAACAAATTAGCAAGCAGTAAAATTATGGACTTTTACAAATTAATATTCTTTACTTCTCCATCTTGTTCAATTATGCTTGGATACATCACAGAGAAAAGGTTGTAATTGAGTTTTACCATAAAGTTTTCAGCAAAATGTGGTTTTTCCCCTTCATTTCACCATCAATATCGAAAGCACGTAAACATTTTATATTTTCCGCATGAATCAAAAAACCAACAAACATATTAAATTCATGAATTTAAAAAAAGGGCCAAATTTGAAAAAGAAATATACCATCCAAGCAGTGGGCCGGAGACTAATCGACCGAAAGAAATAAAATTGGGAAGATTCAAATAGCTATCAGTAACTTTGACCAGAGCATCAGAATCAGTATGATCAAGCTTGGACCCATTAAATCCCTCACTATATTTCTTCTCCTTGCTGTTTAAATCCTGAAACCGTAGTTTGTACGTAATAATGTTATTCAGGGCATATGGGACCCTGGGTGAAAGATTGAGCAAGGCGACGTCGCATTGGAGGTGAAGGGGAGTGGCGGATTGAGATAGCTTCCAAGGGGGCGACGAGAGAAATAGAGGGCCAAAAGTGGACGAAGGGATAGGAGGGAGAAAATGGGGCCGAAGAAAAAATGGGTTTTTGATAATGTTACTATTGGAATTGTGGGATATGTAGGACTGGGAACTGGAGCAGAGGGAGACGAAGGTTCTAGCAGAAGAAGAAACAGAATTAGGGTTTTGAAGCGGGGATTTCGTGGATTGGGAAATTAGGGTTTTAAGGATTGATCGGAAGAAGGCCATGGCCGATGATGGTCAAGCATTGTTTTTGCAGTTGCAGAAAGGTGGAAGGACAGTTTGGAGGTTAGGGTTTTACAAAGGGTTTTAGAGGAAGAAGATGACACGTGGCAAGTTTACACGTGTTACAGTCAGAGGAGCGGTTTTCTTTTTTGGTTTGGAAAAATTTTTCCTTTTTGGGTTTCATTCTCCTGGCTGTGCTATTTCAATTGTGTTATTTGAGATACGGCTAAGTATTTCTATTTTGAGTATATTTCTTGGAGTAAATAATGAAGAGAGTAAAATGCAGTTTTCAAACCCAAAGTCTAACCGTTCAGTAATTTTGGTACTCAACCAACTAGGAGTAGATGGCCACCATGGAGAGATTTAAAGCTTTTCTTGGATGTAGAGGAAGAGATTATTTGCATTCTAAAAAATCTAGAATTTCCTGAAAAATTTCGCCAGCAGATACATAAACTGATAGGCACCCGAATGGGTCTGTGGCGGTTCAATTTTCTTCGAATTTCCCGTTTTGATCCCTTTGGTCCTTCTTTCCCTAGATAGGAGTAGTTGTAGAATGGAATGTATTGTATGAAAAAAAAAGAGTAATTTTGATACTCAAACTTCACAAAAACAAATTTGGTATCTGACGTTATAAAATTTAATCACAATACACTCAATGGAATTCTTCACATTCATTCCTACTAGAAAAAAATACATGCTGTGTATGTCAACAAAATTATAAACCAATATCAAAAAAATTGGAAAACAACACTCAAACTAGATTCCAAAGAAAGTTTCAAAACCTAATATTGAACGAAAAGATCCAAAGAAAAACCTTTCTATATCTTTGTGACACTTTTGACTTGACTCTCAATATTTTTCAATATTTTCGAATATTTTTAAAATTTTGCTAACATACACATGATAGGATGTGACTTTTTCCAATAGGAATTTTAAAAAAAAATTTCCATCAAGTGAAGTATGCTTAAATATTATAATATTGAGTACCAAATTTGTTTTGAAATATATTCTCTCTAAATGAAAATATTTTTCTCTCTTTTTTTTTTTGCTTTGTCAACAAATGTTACTAGGAACTACATAAGAACAATCAAATAAATTTGATAGATGAAGTTATTGTTGTCCAATAAATATATGGGTTATGGTATGACGGGGTGTGGATTTAACCCCTCTCGTTCAAATACGGCATGTTTCATAATTGAATGAGCAATTTATTTATCAATGAAAGTATAGTTTATGTTGGTTTGGAACACCACATGAGGTATTCTTAGGGCTGCAAATAAACCGAATCGCTCGCGAAACTCGACTCGAGCTCGAACTCGAGTTCAAAATATTAAGCTCGAATATATATATATATTTTTTATTTTAAGTATATATATATTTTTTATTTTTTATTTTAAGTGTATATATATTTATTTTAAGTATAAAATTACATATATATCCTTAATATTTTATTATTTATTAAGAAAAAATATTATTTTATTTATTTTTTTAAAAATAAAATAATTATTTTTTTATTTTTTTCGAGTTCGAGCTCGAGCTCGAGCTCAATAAAATTAAATCAAGACTTGGCTCGATTAGACCAAAACTCGACTCGACTTGACTCGTTTGCAGCCCTAGGTATCCTTTTCTCTTGGTTGTATGGGATTTAGTGATGATTTTCCATAAACGAGAACTGAGAAGCACCCATTTATTCTGCTTACCCATCCAATGCCAAGAAAGGATTTAGTCAACTTTGCAATAACTTGGTCATATTCATACGATATATCTATAATAGGAAAAATTCTTCAAAACATCCCTTAGATTTCGTCAAATAAATTTTTTTTGTCTTTTATTTTTAAAATAATAATTTTCCATCCCTTATAGAATCAAGTTGATAAAATTCGGCCCAACTTAAGTTTTCAACCAACTTTTATTTTGAACCCACTCACACATGATCATTTTTTCAGAGGCAAAAAGGTTTTATCTCATATATAATTAAATAAATGGTTTAATCCGTTGGTATTTTTAACCCTAAAAAAGTAGGATATAACCCAACTTATATTCATTTTTTTTCTAAAAAATTGAGATCTGACCTAATCCATATTCATTTTGCCACTAAAAAATTGGGATGTGATGTGACCTTTTTGTACATGAAAAATGACTGCAAGCTGGTCTGTAGTAATTTTAGGCTCAAAAGCGATCGAAAATTTAGAATGGGATCAAATTTTGCTAATTTGAATTTTTAAGGGACATAAAGTTAATATTTTAAAAATAAAGGTTAAAAAAAATCATTTGACAAAATATGAGGGAGGTTTTCAACAATTTCCATTTATAATATTCTCGTTTATAATATTCCGCTTATAATATTCTCGTACTTCTCTACCCAAGACTTTAACGAATATAACGGGCTTCCAAGTCATTAGCTGCCTGAAAGTAGTTACTTCCACGACCCCAATTGAGTTTCTTACCAAATCTTCTTCCAACACTTTTTTTTTTCTTTCTTTTTTCCTGTGAATGAACAACCTTCTTTAAGTTCAAAAACAATACATTCTTTAGCTTTCTTTTTCCTTTATGATGCCAGCTTGTATTTAATTAATCTGAAAATATCCTTCGGCTCCGAGGAGATATTGAAACATTACCTGGCATTGTCAATAAATGAAAGAGAAAGATGGAAAGATACCACATTTTATGATTGTTTTCGAACCTGAGAAGGTTTGTTGGGAAAATCAAAAGGAGGGGTGTGGAAGGAGATGAGATTATTGGCCTGTTGCACAATGCAGCGCAGCACCACAATGAGGAAGGCACCTTTGAAAGCATCTAAGAGTTCTATCAACGACGTGAAGATCTCCAAGAAATATGATGACTCTGATGCATTGTCCACCATTGTCAGAAGTGTTTCTCTGAATACAGGTTACCCCAGCCAAACAATATTTCATCTCTTGTCTTTCATTTTCGAGCTTTTTTTTTCCCCTTTTTGTTTGGCGATTTATGTATCTGATAGGTTTAATCTATACAAAGTATGTGCATTTTACACCTGAACATGGTTTTTGCAAGTGTGCAGAAAATGTCAAATGTTACTTTGTGCTCCAGCATTCTTAACAGACTTAATAATGTTTGATCAATCCTCTTTTTTGACGTTAAGGCTTGTAGGAAATAACTGAATGCATTAAAATTGATCACCTTGTTAAGAACAAGAAGATTTCAACACAATTTCCTCACCACACTAGATTCTTCTTCCCAAATGCACAAGCGCAAGCCTTTGCAACATAGAGATTATGAGATTGCAGGAATATAAGCTGATTGTCTTGTTGCTTAAGATTTATCTTGTTATAACCCGTATTATACACACGGGTGTGATGATCTATACAGGCCCTAGTAAACAAAGAACAGTAGCTGAGGACATACTTCGTTATGGACATGTTAAAGTTGCAGCAGAGGTATTCACATTTCGCGAACTCGCAGCTGCAACGGACAATTTCAATTCTGAACTACTGGTGGGAGAAGGAGGATTTGGAAGGGTCTATATGGGACGCCTCAAGAAAACCGATCAAGTATCTCTCTCTCTCTCTGTCTCTCTCTCTCTCTCTCACACACACACACACATATTTGAAGTATCATGACCATCCTTGTTCCCATTTAAAGGTTGTTGCAGTCAAGCAACTTGACAGGAATGGATTTCAAGGAAATAGGGAGTTTCTAGCAGAAGTTCTGACACTAAGCCTTGTTCACCACCCAAACCTCGTAAATCTCATAGGGTATTGTGCTGATGGCCGCCAAAGAATTTTGGTCTACGAGTACATGCGTAATGGATCACTAGAAGATCACCTCTTTGGTAAGCACAATATTAAGTTCGGGGACAGCGACATTTCCCATGGAGAATGATCCCAAGAAGCAGTATCAATTATTTGTCAAAACATACATTATTGTTTTGGTTTTATCCTTCGACAACATGCTAATTGGTCAATAGTATAAAGATTGTTTGTGCTTTATGTCTTACATTACATTCTAATGATGTTATCTGTTTTTCAGATATTCCTCCACATAAGAAGCCTCTAGATTGGTTTACTCGGATGAAAATAGCTAAAGGTGCAGCACAAGGACTCGAGTACTTGCACGACACAGCCAACCCACAAATCATCTATCGCGATCTAAAAGCATCTAACATCTTATTAGATGATGAGTTTAATCCTAAGCTCTCTGATTTTGGACTTGCTAAGTTAGGTCCAACAGGAGACAAAGATCATGTCTCCACCAGGGTAATGGGGACCTATGGCTACTGTGCTCCAGAGTATGCAATGACAGGCCAACTGACGACGAAATCTGACATCTATAGTTTTGGGGTGGTCTTGTTGGAGATCATCACAGGAAGGAGAGCTATCGATAATACAAGGCCTACAGCAGAGCAGAACCTGATTTCTTGGGTTAGTTTCTGGATTTGCTATTTTTGAATTGACTAAAGAAGCTTCGGCACTTATTTCTATAACTTAAAGAACCAGTAACCAAGCCATCTTTCGTTCTGAGATACCTTAATGTTCATTTGGATAATTGGATGCAAGATTTTTTTGGGTTCAGTATTCTGCACTAACAATTTGAAAGTCAAAAGGCAAATATTCTACACGTCTGTCTGCAGGAGTAATCATGTCAATTGGAGTAATAGCTATACTATACTATGGTACTGAACAAGAAACGTTTCAATATAGTTTATTTGTATAAATTTTTATTGTCATGTTGAATACATGTGCAAGGCAGGTGCATTTTCCTAGTTCATGTAAAATGGGGTAATAGCTATACTATGGTACTTACCAAGAAATGTTTCCCAACAATGTAGTTGGTTTTAACATTCTTTGATTGTCATTTAGTTTGCCCATGATTTTGTTCTCATTCTTGCAGGCAAAACCTTATTTTAAAGATAGAAGACAATTTACATTCCTGGCTGACCCTTTGCTGGAAGGGGATTACCCTGTAAAGTGTCTTCATCAAGCTGTTGCTGTTGCGGCTATGTGCCTCCAAGATGAAGCTAGCACCAGGCCTTTCATTGGCGATGTTGTTACTGCTCTCGAGTATCTAGCCATGAGCACAGATGAAAGCTTCAGCGACGAAGAAGAAGCGATAGATTTTCAGTAGACATAGAAAATCATTTGCTGACACTCATAGAGTCAGAAAATTAAATGAGGCCATAGACATTCCTATCCCATTGAGAAGGTATCCTTATATGAGAAGGTATCCTTAATTGACCTATCCCATTTTGCATTTGACAGGAAGAAAAAAGGAAAAAGAGAGAAACAGGAAGAAGAAAAATGGTAATTGACGACTTTTGGGAAGTCACAAGTTGTATAGTACCCTCAAAGGAGGGGGTTAAGAGTGTTTCTAGCCATTGAGAGACAAAGTATTAAACAGTTCCCTGTTATGAAGTCTGTAGGTTATCATCTTATCTGTCAAAAGATTAGCTAATGGTTGCTCTATTTGCATTGATGCTTCAGTATCCTCATTAGATATAAGCACATGTACCTCAGTACATTGACATTTGAACATTAAAAAGCACATTTTCTTGAATCTTCCACCTGCAACCTATATCTGTTACTTCACATAAAGGAATCCGAACTGGTAAGTTTCTAAATTCAATGCAGCATAATGTGCCTGCTACAGAACCTTATACATGATCACTTAAACACCTGAATACATAAAAATTCAGAACACAACAATGTAGTTGTATTTGTTTGAAATAAGCCTGGAAACAGTTGTAGGATATCATGCTTTTAACCTTGGAAATGTGCAGCTTGACAAGCAGAAATTACACTAGTTAAATGGAGTTACCCGTGACTGCATAAACATGTTTACATTCAATTGATACTTCTAAGTTCCTGTCTAGCGTACAACTAAATATCAAATTACATGAAGAAAGGGGACATGAACCAAGTACATGGTCAATATAAAAGTAATCTTCTCTTTGATGAACCAAGAGAAAGAAAAAGAGACAGAAAAGGTCCTCTTAGCTAGAGGCAGTGAGGATCTTGAGGTAGCACTATTTGGGATCAGTGCCTTCAGACTCGGATGGCCAAGCAACAACTGATCTGGCTTTTGTTAAAGACCACAAAAACCAATTGCATATGTGACAAATTCCTAAACAGGGACACCATGTACAAGTGTACAACCAATTGCCCTCTTCCTGTAAAGGTCCTCAATCTTTAAGGGAAGCTGTTATGAGAAAGTAAACGTCATACATGATCCTCATACCTGCGGAAGGTACTACTCATCAATAAAAACATACCAAGTGAAGTACTTCAGCACGGTACCATACCAGTGGCTGGAGGTTCATTACCTGAGGAATTATACTGAAGCATGAAAAAGTTGAGATAAAGGAACTGAATCACAGTTTCTGATATTCACAGGCAACTTTTTGACGTGTATCATTTAATTTTGATGCTAAATAAACATGGAAAATCAGGTCCCATAAGATAGGAAGTCCATGAGAAAGATAGAATGTTATCTGAAAACTTTCTCCTGCCTAACAACCTTATGAAGCATCAAACTAATGCTCCATAAGACTATGGTACTAGACCTCAAACTCCTTCATATCAGCTCTGAGATTTCTATAACTGAACCGAGGAAATTCACCCAATCGATGGCTGTCGGATACTTCCACCATTGAGCACATGCCTGGTCGCACACCAGAACCTGTACCTCCTCTTCTTTTCTTCCTCCTCCATGTCAAATTCAAGAACCTGAAACTAGGCCAGGATTTAATTCCAGTGGATGTGAAGTCCTGGACATGTCTCTGAGGTTGTACAGAGCTTCCACAGCAGTCTACTTCCAGTCTTCGGAAATACTCAATCTCCTTCTTGAGAAGTGATCCAACCGTCCCCCTTGTGCCAACTTCAACTGGAGCACCTGTACCCATTTGTTCAGGCAACTTGCTAGTTATGTTGCTGACACTATATATCGTTTGTCTGTACACTGCCATGGCACCAAAGAATTGGTATGGAAGAAAGGTTGTTTGAAGCCTTTTAGGTCCTTGTCTTTGATGAAAGTGTGCTTTTAAGTTTGGATCACCTCATCTTTGATTTGCTTTACTACATGCTTTATCCAAAGTGGACAGCATGGGAAGTATGATTATAAAAGCAGCAGTGGGAATATGATCATCATATATGTTTGCAATCAAAGCAAATAAAAAGTCCTAACTGTTCCCCCTTTTTGACTTCTTGATCATGCAATTGCTTGCATATGTAACACACCCTTCATCATGATCAAGGTTCTTTCACTATTTTTTTCCCCTCTCAATGGGAGTAGTAGTTCAAGTCTCCAATGTTCATTTTCTCCTTTTTTTCTTCACATAATCGCATTTTCTAAGAATTGAGCCTGTAGCAACTGTTACCGGTTAGTCAAGAACTTTTAATGCCAGGAATCAAACGTGGTGTGTGAAACAGGCCTAAATTGCCATTGTCAATAGGCAGTTAAGAAGGATAATGACCGCTTTAGCACCGTACGAATGCACTCAAATGGTTCACTTGGGATGTAGAATGATTACTTGCGAATTGCCATCAATTGCTCGATCTTTTGAGTGCTTGTTTGGACGGACTGAGTCGTTAGAAACCATAAATACGCATCAGGCATTTCATTTTGTTTATCAAATTGAAAATGTTTATATGCGTGTGGGGTTCTTCTTGCTTTTCTTTCCACTTTTACTAATGGCGGATTCTTAAAGTGGAATTGTTGTTGAACGGTTTCAACATAATCTGCTTCAATACAAAAATTTGCAGCTTCAGGCCACTAATTGATGGAATCCAGTTTTGGTGGTGGAATAGTTCAGCTAGTCTGCTTCCATGGTTGAACAAAAGCATGCTTGCACATTGGTGGTATCTAACAAGAAAACTGTATGGGTTACTTACTCTGGTACATATCGCTGATTGAAAAGTCAGAAACCACTAAATATATCACCTCCATCTTCAAATCCATCATTTGCTGGGAGTCGTACACATTAGACTATCTATCAGATCATCGGAGGCAGGTAGAAAGGCATTCCTATCTAAGAAAACATTGACGGCGTACATATATATGTTCCAAATTTGCAAAATTAACAATCGGCTGCTTACGTTTCAATTGTACAATACTCCTCTAAACACCAATGTGAATTTGTGCAATTTGTCCACCATTTAACAGCAGAAGTGAGATAATACACAAGGTACTGGAAACTGAAACATGGTGAAATAGAAGATCGGTAAGTATGGAAATGGCATGGCATTGAGTCGGAATATATTCATTCTTCAGCGGTGACAGAGAGAGATAAATATATGAACTTGCATTTCTACTCTTGCCTTCAAATGTATAAAACAAAAACAAGACATTAAAGTTTGAATTAACTTTCAATAAAGCCCACGTTTTGACTAAGCCCTAATCCCCGGACAAGAATATTATGCAAGCAACACCCTCGACAGTTGACAGTTTTATTGTTGGAAAAACCAAGAATTTCCATTCACAATCATATTCAATTGCCTTTGTTGCATGGCTTCCATGACATGGTGGCTTCCCAGAATTTATAATTTAACCGTGGACATGAGAATATGACTTCAATTATCTAAAGAACAATTTTGTAAAGAATTTGATGGCAGCATGAATCATTTTTGATGCCCCTAAAGAATATGCAGTATTACAATTTTCTGCTCTACAATCAAAACACAGAAACGATATCAGAAGTTTATCTGTCCAGGAAAACAAGAACATCGCATAAAAATAATATAACCAACTTAAAACCAACAACATCTCAAGAAATTAGCGCATTGCAATGTAATGCTCTTGATAAAACTGAAAGATGCTTTATTCAAATAGTTATCAAATAAATTACAAGCCTCAAACTTGAAGAGCTTGCGCTCTCTCCTTTACTTTTTCCATTTTTTCCCTAACCCCCATTGTTGTTTTTTACTCTTTCAAATTTTTTTTATCCAATTTTCCTTTATTTGGATTTACATTTTCACGTATAATATAGGATTTTCTCAATATCATCTCGTATGTACTTTACAGTCTACACTGAAAAAATGATGCACATACCTCGGCAAGGCAAGAGCATGCTGCTGTCAAAGACCATTCAACTTGCACCTCTTTAGTCAGAAAAAGTTAAAATGGCTGGATCACATTATACTGGGAAGGTGGCATGAATATCTGAGGCTGCGATGCAAGGCAAGAGCATTTTGTAAGGCTACATCTACTCTTGAACCACTCTGAAACAGTGAGTCATACAACTGGCAGACAAACTGAGACAATTCCTCCTCATCATCATCCCAGTAATAATGTGAAGGTGCTCCGTTTTTTTCAGGTTCACTGTCTTCCCAGTCACTTATTGGACTGGCAGGTTCCATGTCTTCATCTTCTGCTTCTTCATCTCCAATCTCAAACTTCCCATTCTCTACAGCATTAAATTCACCAGACCCCTGGAATGTTGCCAACTGTGTTTCTTCAGGTTCAGCAGAAGGGCATATGACTGCTTTAGCACCAGAATCAAGAAGTGATTTGATCAAAGCCTGGGTAGGCCCGTAGATGCCAGTGAAGATTATAATCCTATCCCTCCAAGCCCCAACCTGGGTGTCAATACAAAGCAAGAGAATTGGTCTCGACAACAGACATGCTAAATGAATCACAAGTATCCAAATATCTAATATGCTACCAACTTGAAAGGCCGATATGCAAATCCCAAAATTTAGGGAACATAATAACAGGCTGAGAATGTCATTAGGGTAAACATAACTATTCTCTTCCAGAGGATAGAGTTTCCCAGACATTTATATTTTCAAAAGATTAGCAAAAGCAGTATTAAAATCTGAACCAAAGTATACTCAGACACTTTTCTTTTAAACCTTTTTCCACCGTTTCCCTAAATCAACAATTTAAGTGGGTAAAAATTGCTAAGGAAACTGCACAAAATGATTCTGAATGCTGAAGCACTTGTAAAAATACCAAAACTACAACTTTGGGGCAATTTACACAACCTCGCTTACTAAAAGTACCTTGACAGACAAAAGTATCAAGGGAAAAGGAAGACAAAGAGGAGTAGAATGAAGAAGAGGTTAAGGGGATTGATAGAACAATGAATCATTGAGGCATAAACTCTTTGTTTTTAAAAACCACACTGATTTACTTAGTTTAATAGTATCAAATGCCAGTTTTGAGTAACCACTATTTTACCGAATCATAGGATGGTTTCTCTAGAATTCATTAAGAATGGAAAGCCAAATGAAAGCAGATGTAAACTAGGCCACACCATCAGACGAACATCTTCTGGAGTTAAGTGAACAGAAGGAACAGTCCTACGGAACATATATGCAGCAATTTCTCGATCATCTTCCATAACCTTCAGAATATTCCAAAAGGAAATCAGATTAGTAATAGTCAGTTAGTGAAACTAAATTAAGTACAAAAAGGAAAAATAGAAATAACACAAAAAGGAAATCAGATTAGCATACTTGTGTTTGTCTTCCAATATATCGATGAACAACACCTCCAATTTGGAAGTAGGGCCTACACGAAACCAGGTCAGAAATTGTAGAAATGTCTGTGATAATTGATGCATTCTTCCTACGTCGTCCTCGAAACATTGCCAGTAGGCTATATTTTACAGTCTGCAGAAATTTTTCTGCTAGTTCTCCCGGCTCAGCAACCACAAACACTTCATTCTGCCAACTATATTGGGAAAAGAAAGGAAAAAAAAAAAAGACGCTTAAGTAAAAATGAAACAGCATTCACATGTTTTGTCGGTAGAAGATGATGATGCAAATGTTACCTTAATATGGACCCATATATATCATTTTGCAGAGCCAAATGTATCAGTCCAACTTGAGAAGAATTCCTTAGTTTGTCATGCAGTGAAAGGACAGGTAAAGTCAATTGCCTGCGTCTGGCAGGAGAGTCAGGCGGTGAAGCAGTTGTTTTTGCAGATTGGGATCCATCCAAGCTTAAAGGAGGAACCAAATCAATCCGGCCAACCCTCTGATACCCAAAATCTGGACTGTAGAACGGGGGGCTTGATGGGAAGCTCCCAGTAAACAAAGGTGATGTAAATGGTGTTGGGAATGTAGACCCTGCAGTTGCTCTGAGGGTGCCTGATATATCATTCACTAGAGATAGCTTTATTCCAGAGCGACCACAAAACGTCTCAAGTGAGCGTGCATGATGAAAAACTCTTCCAGAATCTGGACTGTTAGAAGCCTCAACAAGAAGCACGGCTTGTCTCCAGCCTATAGAGGGGCTGTTGTCATCTAGCACTGCCAACACACAAGACTTCAAAGCTAAGGACAATAAACATCAAAATAGAATCAAACCTCTGAGTAGACAACAATAAGAATTCAGCACATATACCAGATTTTAAACCTTTCGCTTTAACAAACTGCTGAGACTTTAGACTATCTGGAAATTTTTCATCATGTGAATTCTCCAGCAAACTCTCACATACAGTTCTAAATGACATAGAGTTCTTCTTGATGTAATCATCTGTGGCAGCCTCCAATCTCAACCAAACCGTTGGATCAGTCTCATCTAGCTCCATCTCACAACGCTCATCGACTGCCATTGCAAACAAAGAAAATCTCGGTTGATAAATAATCTAGAAGTTAAAAATAACATTATGCAAACATTCAGCACTATTATGATCAGGCAGCTTGATTTCTACTCCCCTAGTTTGACAACCCAAACTCAAAAGCAAAAGCAGGAGGAAGAAATCAAATCCGATTTTTTTTTTTTAAAAAAAAACACTCCAAGTGCTTGTCCTACTGGTTTCTTAGATGCTGATACAAAACAGAGTATTTCAATAACTGTTTGAAATTCTCCTCGTAAATTAAAACATATAAAAGCTAGCTTTATAGATGCATGCACTTACATTAGAGGCGCTATACTTCAATGTAGCTTTCTGCTCAATAAAAACTAAAATTTAGTTTACTTTAAGCCCAAAAAAAACCCTAAAAAATGCCACAGTTTGGAGTTCATAATTAACACATTTACTAATAGATAGAAATGGTGTACCTGGATTGAACCGAAAATATTGTATGTCAGGAAGCATAGTGAGCAACGTGCTTAAAGCTTCCTCCACACGATCAACTGAGCATGCACTTTCAATCAACACCTGACCAGTATCCAAATAACGCCATCCTCCTTTCCGAACCTAGCATAGCATGAAAACAGTAGCACAACAATAACTAAACAAACAAGATGAAGAAGCAACAATAAAACATGTACATCTCAAACTATCACATCATCTCAGTTATCTTTAAACACCCATGCTCGCCCAGCTGCCCACCCTCATTCCATCTCTTGATGGAAAAAAAAATTGTGTAAAAGAAAGTGAAGAAAAAATAAGATGAGAAAAGAAAACTATTGTATTTAGGTAAACGAGTTTAAATTTCTCAGACAATTGATTAGGTGAGAATGACCTAAAGAACAGGCCATCTGCTCCTAGGTAATAGCCTCCTGATAATTATAAGCAAAATAGCAACAAATGCAAGTGACTTGGAGTTGAAAGTAATACTGGCCAGCCAAAAATTCATGATCACAAATAAATTTCATATAATCTGATGTACATGATATCTGTGAACCCTTACTGTTACCTTCAAGTCTTTTAACAAAAATATTGATCCATAATCATTTACTGCATGAAAAATAAATTTGGTTTTAAAACATAGAATGGATTTGCAACACCTTTCAGATATTATAACTTCCTAGCACACATGCTCTTTAACTTACTTGGTTGGGGGATCTCCTGCAGGGGGTGGGGCAGGGGGAAGGTGGGGTGATAAAACTAAGTCAAGTCTCCAAAGAAGCTTCAGGAAAATCGAACTACCTTGGTAGGGACAGAACAACATCCAATTGACACTAAGCAATCAATTCTAGCATCTGGCCATAATAATTGTGCTTCTCGTACGGCAAAAATAGTAGGATTATTTGCAACAATAGCTCCATCCTGCCAACGGTAAGCACCTATGAAAACAAGACAAGAAAGAGGAGCTCAGGTGAAGATGCAGGTGACAAAGCTAGGAAAACCAAACATAAAAAACGAGAACAATATGAGCGGTAACTCAGCAAGAACTGAAACAAATACCGTCAGAGAAATCATCAAGGTAATATGGTGCAGCAGAAGATGCTCTTATAGCTTGCCATACGTGGTGCTTACAACTTCCAAGAAAGGCGTTCCTCTTGGATCCAACTTGGGCTCCAGATGTTGCTGCTCCAAGGCCACCTGTTGTCAAGTTCTCAGAAATTGCGGAGGAAATCTCTGGAGTCCCAGCAGGGTACTGCACTTCATCACAAATAAAAAGAGGAAAATAAAGCAAAACATATAAACCCTAACAAGAGACCTACAAAGAAAATACAGACGTAAAGATTGAATAATAGATAATCTCCTCACAAGGCACCTGGTAATTGCGGAATATGAAAGGCTGAGCTGGTGCAACACTGACAAGAGTTGATACCACAAATACTTTGGGAACCCGTTTAACAGCTGATTCTATCAGAAGATCTCCATCCTCATCAGCACACATCTCCTTCAATAATCGCTCAAACTGATCTGCACTGTGCTGGAAGATGATAAAAGATAAGTCTCTAGTATAAAGACATAAAGGTGAATGTCATTCAAAGGGAAAAAAGAAGCACACAAGAAGTCTCCAAAGAGAGAACAAACACTCTCTTAACCAATATCACTTACTAAACATCTCTAGGACATACAAGAATGCAAAGGGTATAATCATTTTATTACTTCTTCAAGAAAAAAAGTACCCCGCAAGGGAATATTAGTCATCTCAACTCCAAATAAGAGGGGAAACTTTAAACAAATCAATAGAAAAAGGAGAAAACTCTGAGAGCACTTTTAAAAGTAATTCACATTCTCCTCAATATAGGTAATAGGGGCTAACATTATTTCACTGAAGAAAAAGAAATTGGGTGCAAAATAGAGCATTACATACTTTGGATCCGTGCACAACAACTCTGAAACTCTGAGATGAGCTTTTGTAAAGTTGATCCAATTTTTCTCTCCAACTTGCTGCTTCATTGTCCTTCGGAACAGGTTCAGCAAAAACAAGTTTCCCTGGAAAATGTGGGGAAAAATAACATCATAAGAAGGTATAGGAACCACAAAGTGGAATGCCTTTTTATGCAGAGAGCACACCTAGCTCTTTGTATATCTCTTCACATCTTTCCAAGGACATCAATTTAATTGCAAGAGCAACTGCAAGCATGCCACCCGTTGATGTACCACAAATAAGGTCAAACAGCTCATGTATCTGTTTCCCAGTGCCCTTTTCAATTTCCTTGAGCATCCTGACAGTTGCCAGACCTTTCATGCCACCACCATCCATGGAAAGGATACGCAGCCCACGCTTTGGGACTTGCCGGCCTCTAATAGCACGCCGCAGAACCTCATTTTCGCCTGAGATTGCACAAACACGTCTCATCTTTCTGGAGATCTAAAGAGAATTGATAGCTAAACATGGATTTCAACATTGACAAACCAAGTATAGCCAAAGCACGAGCTGCAGCTTTATTCACACGTGGCTCGGATGCAACTGTCAGTCGTACAAGAAGATCCCTCAAACTTTCTGAAGTAACGAGTGTATGCCGATTCTCCAAGCAGAAAGCTAAATTTCCCACTGCCAATAAAGCTAATGTTTGTACCTGATCGATACAAAAAGTCCTTTCAGACAAATAGTGAAGATTAAGTTTAAAAAAAAAAAAACACACAAAAAGAAGCTCTAAGAGAAGTATACCTCCGTATTTCTATGGGCGCATAATAATTTCAAAGATTTTAGTATATCCTTAGTCAACATTTTCTGAGCCACAATATCAGACGTAAAAGCCAACTTAACCACAACTTGCAGCACAGATATTACTTCTTCTTGACTGGCAGATTTCAGCACTCCTTCAATTGGTTGCATGATGTCAGTCTTTATCAACTGCATTGCCACAGAAACATCTGAAGCAAGAGATGAAAGAGCAGAACAAGCTTGCTCAACCTGCGAAGAAAGCACGAATAATTAGACCTCACACCTGATGTGAAATTAAGACAAAGACAGACAACAAATTGAGTAACAAACCACGTGTTGATTGTCGCTACTTATCATACTTATGAGCTGCCGCACTGCATTCTCATCTTTCCCAACGACAACCCGATTTCCCTCATCTTGCATTATCTTTGCCAGAGCAGATGCAAGCAAAGGGTGATGACAAGAAGAAAACCGGAATATGAGAGAAAAGAAGGCACTCAGTTTATGCCGAGATGCAACAAAGTAAGAACTGTTCTCCATCTGGAAGAATCAGAGAAGAAAAGGAGTACTTAGCACTGATAGTAGAACACCAAAAAATGGGAATAGATAATTGTCTAATACCTCTATCTGCACATTCAATGATCTAAGATTGTCATCTGCAACAATCCTGATATTTGCAAGAGACAAATGACGAAGTTTATGCAATGGTAAGATATCAGGGAGGAACTCCATTGGATTTCCAAATAGCCTTAGAACCCGCAACTCAGCCATAGACCTGTCATAAGCTGGAAATGAATTAGGCCTCAAGGACAATAATTATAACCAAATTCAGGCATAAGCAGGTATAAATCTTCAACCAGTGATAAAGGTAGCTTCAATGACCTGAAATCAAGAAGAGGCCGGACCAATTTGTTGTGTTCCAGAGACAATTCAAGTAATCCATCACATTGCCTTAGTTCAGCTGTAACAATATCATATCAAGACGAGCCAGAAAATACCATGGTCACAACAACAGATGAAATAAGCATATATCTTTGATTTAGTTCAATTAATAACATAAAATACAGTCACAAGTAACATCCCTGGAGATGATACGAGATATGTAATCAACATTGTATGCAACATATAATTGGATCTTACCAGGAACAGAGGCCAGCAGGTTGAAGTCAACTGCAAGAACTTTCAAGTTTTTTAGCCCACCAAGCTCAGGTGGCAAAGTTAATAGCTTGTTGTTATCAAGATATAGCTTCTCAAGTAGTGGCAGTTGGGTTACCTCCACAGGCAAGACCTGTAATAGCAACAACAGATTGTAAAGAATTAGTAAACCTCTAAAAACTAAATTAAATTAAATAAAATCCCAGCCCCCTGCGAACAACCTCTAAAAACTAAATTAAAAGAGAGAGAGAGAGAGAGAGAGAGAGAGAGAGAGAGAGAGATTCTGTCTTCATTAACATCCTCAAACCATAAAGTACCAAAGTCATCTTGCTACTCCTGATTAGCTTAAACCAACCTCCATGAGAATAATAGAAAATCTTCTCCTCTATGCTACTGCTTCTTAACAAATTCAAAGGAGGCATTCTTGCGAATATTTGACACTGGACCAGTAATAAAGTGGGGAACATTGGGCTACCAATAGCTATTGTCATGAACAGTTTTGCCACCCTATAACTTCTACTAATATAAACAGTCATAAGTTCATCAAAGAGAAAATCATAGAACAATAAGTAAATCTTCCATCTTTTTTTTTTCCTGTATGTCCCCTACTACAACGATTATAGTACGAAGAACCATACGAATCACACTGTGATAATTTTTCTGTTCATCTCTCCCATTTTTTCTGTTCCAGTTGGTGGCAAATGCAGAATACTCTATAAACCATATTGGCTTTAAGGAAAGAAAAGGCAAAAGTAGACATTGCATTTGCATCTTATAAAACTGAAGAACACCACAAAATCTATCATCAAAAGAATACCATATGAAATGAATACTCACTGATAATCCCAGACCACAGAGACTGACCAAAGTGACACTCTTCCAATGCTCAGCACACCCTACGACAGCCCCAACCCCAGCTCCGTGCCCTGCTCCAGCCCCCTCCGCAGCCGCACCTCCACCTCCAACCCCATTCGCAAAATTTGACCTCATCAGCCTCACAAAAACTCCCATCCCATCACTCTGCTGGCCCGATCCCCCAACTCTCCACATTATAACCCCCTTCAACGGCTCCCTCCTCTTCACCACCCTCATCTCCACTCCCACCTCTCCCCCAAAATCCTCCCCAGCCACGCCGCTGGCCACACTACCCTCCCCACTTTCAACAATCTCGCCGCCATTTTCCAAATTTCTAGGACTCTTCTCCTTCTCGTTCATTTCAACTTCGACAGTGTCCTGCGGCGACGGCAGCGCGACCATGACCTGCGACTGGAGCCGGAGAGCGACCTGATCCTCATCCTCGCCGGCAGTCCAGTCGAGGTCAACTCGAAACCCGAATTGCTCATGATTATTTTCCTGTGAAAGCATTGCAAGGGATGAGCTGAATGACGAGGACCCACCCACGCCGGCGGCCGACGACGCCGACGACGATCGTGATGACCTTGGGCTGGCGTCATCCAATGCGTCATCGGCGCCGTAGCTTAAGGTGACATGGAAAGTATCCGATGGACGTTTCCAGCCCAACCCCCACGACATTGTTGAATTTGGATTTCCTTTGTTTTCTGTTGGTCATCAAATTTTATTGGACAAATTCGATCTGATTAAATTTGAACGAAAATGGTGATTGACATATCATTTTTCTGTAAACTTTTTATAGGGTTTTAGAGAAATCGTTACTCTCTCATGAGTGTGGAGAGAGAAGAAGAGAGACAAAATAATGTGTTTTTTTTTCCCCCCCCAGTTTCAGTAGTGCAGTTTCTCCGATAAGAGGCGGGTTCAATGAGCAAGAAGACAACTCAAAAGACGCCGTCGGCTCTCGGCTTGCTTACTTCGTCAATAATCCAGAAGTCAGACCAACCATTTACGACGACGTGTCCTCTGGAATATGCACCGACCAATTATTTCATTCTACATTTTTATTTTCTTTTTTAAAACATTTCATAATTGTTTTATTTTATTTTTGGGAAAAGAGAGTATACTTTTGCGTTACTTCTAAAGCACTCATCGGGGAAGGGTCCGATATCCAGCTACCTTAAATCATCCTTTTGGTTGTTTAATTGCATTAATTCACTCAATAATCTTCCACTTGCTTTACTTCAATACAAATCCTTATACTCCTATAAAATTGACCATACCAATGCCTATCCTATGCCCTAATAAAAAAGTTTGGTTAGGGTTGATGACCGAAAATTTTGATAAATCATTTATTCTGTTCTAGATATAATATGTTAATCAAGGAGTCCTCGATACTCGTAAGATAGTAAAAAAATTTAACTAATTTATTAGGATTAATCTTCTTACACCAGTAACAAGAGTTTAACTAATTTGTTAGTATAATTAATCTTTCTTACACCGGCGAGATATAGATGCATCACATTATTTTAATCTAAATTTGATACTGAATTTGAATACCAAACTTTACATTACATATATGATGACGTCCATTTACATCCGCTAACATTATATACACTATCTGTGCATAAAATATTTACCCAATTTATTGTGTCATATTTTCAAATGTAATATCTCGTGGTGTTTTTAAGTCAAACTGCAATTTTTCTTTTTTTAAGATTACAAAGAACCATGATACAGGAAATAAATATAATTAACAAAAAAACCAGCCAACAAATGATGCAAAAACAATTTGTAATACTTTAATATACTGTTGTGTTTTTTATTGCAAAAACAAAGTGGAATTGCATCACTCATTCGTCATCTCTTGAGCTAGTTATCTTGACTAATTATGTCAAAAAAAGTTGTCTTGACTAATTATATGTCAGATGAGCTAATGGACAGCATAACGTGTAACTTGAGATAGAAATACACCATGCAGTATTAGTCCAGCAAATGCAAATATTAAAGAGAATAGTATACATCCCCTGCAAACTTTTGAGAGAGGGCAAAGAGAATTGTCAACAGATACTAAAGGGAGGACAAAAGAGAAGATCTGGATTTGGAGAAACATTTTTGACCAAGCAAAGGGGGAGATGGGAAACTGGAAAGGCAGGGAGCCACAGAGAAAAAGAAATTTGGCATGGAAAGGCAATAATTGGAATGACTGTACCATGGGTACAAATAATAAAGAGGTTAGACATCACAGGAGTAGATGCAAAAAAAATACTTCTCTAGAAACATTCTGGAAACAAATATGAATTTGGGCAACTGTAGAACCTGAAGAGCAGCAACAGTAAATAATAACTAAAACAGGAGGGAGGCATTGCCGATAATCAAGCAAATAACAGCAATAACACAAAACAATGCCAGATAGATCTCTGCAATTCTGAGGAACTTTAGAGCATACTATCTCCCTATCCTGTGAATGGTCTCTGAATGGTGCCAACAGCAGATCATAAAGCTCGTAAACCCTGATTACGCCTTCAGTTCCTTAGAAACTGAGGCAAATATCTCCTTCAGTTCCTCTTTCGCATCATTGCCCGCAAAAATAAAGTTTATGGCATCCCTTGCAAGTGTATGCATTTCCTTCATTCCAAGACCTTGATGAAGTTGAAAAAACTCCAATCAAATTCAGATGAGAGCTAAACATGAACTCTTATCACACGTACCAGAACAAGAATTTGTACAAACCATATGCAGAAGCAGCAAGCCTGTACTCGTGTGATAGGCTAGTAGAAAATACCCCCATGTCATCAGTGCAGAGGCTAACTGGATGTTCTGAATTATACAAATCAGCTGCAACCAGGAATCTTAAGGTTATATAGGTGAAAGAAGAACATCCATTCAAGGGCGAATTTCTTTTTGATTTCAAAGAGGAGGAATTATAAAAAAATAGACATTTCTCATTTCATATTCTAGGCAAAAGTTAATTTGAGTTCAGATAACTTTCCATCTTTATTCAAGATATAAATTAAAAAAAAAAACAGGAAAGATAGACGAGTTTAGAAGGCCTACCAAAATGGTGAACATCTAACGATGGGATTGTTTCTGTTCTGATGTTCGATGTCAAACAAATCTCAACCTGTGGGCATGCAGTAGATAAAGTCCAGAAGCTCAGCTAAACGAATGTACAATTGCATCAAAAATTTAAATGAGGATGCCTAATATGAGAGAACTTTGATTTGACTCTTTCCAATATGAAAGAACTTTGATTTGACTCTTTTTTTTTTTCCCATGAAAGGATTATTAAGATGAGTAACATGTACACCTTTTTAGAACAACAACAAGAGGACCAAACTTACAATTTATTGAACTTATGAAGTGGGAACAACAAGATGTGCCCTCTTCATTTAGTTGGTTAACCAAAAATAGAAACCATTGCAGCACTGAATCTCCTGCTCTTCAAGAAAGAATTACATACCGGGATCTTAAATGACTTTAATTTTCTCCAATGGTCTTCCTCAAAGTAGCAGGCATGGCCAATTCTTCCAGGAAGAAAATCTAGCATTGCATGCACTTCCTCTGAATTCGGTACCTACAAGCACTAAGTTACAAAAACAAGATACTCAGAATGACCAGTAATAGACCAGTAACAAAAGCTAAAGAAAGAGGGACAAGCCAAATGCACCTCCCCAGAGTGCAGAGTTACAGAAAGTCCTTGCTCTTTGGCAAACTTCAAAGCAGGCAAAAATGTTTGCCTACGTATCAAAAAGCGCAAAAATATTTTACACCTCTAGGGTGAATAATGGATGAAACAAGAACATAATGATCCAAAATTATATAGCAGAGAGAACTACCATTCACCAATTACAGGATTGCCAGAAAGGTCAATTCCCACAACTCCTAAATCCTTCATTTGTAGAGCAAGCTTAACCTTGAAAAGGCAAATAAGCAAAGTCAATACTTGGCTACCGAAATACAGATACATATCAAATGTCTGATACTATCTCGTTAACATACTGTTTCCATTGCAGCCTCCGTTGATTCACGCCGGTCAATACTTAGAAGAAGTCTCACACATATCTTTTTCCTTCGACTTTCACTATTTCTATCATTAGCAGGATGAGAATTTTCAATAGCTTCCGCATCTAGTTTATGAGCAAAATCAACATCAACATTGTTGACGGCCCTTAAACCTTCCACAACAGCTTGCATGTATGATTCTTTGCTCATCCCTTTTGAATCGTTTCTCTGTATCATTACAAAGATAACAGTCCTTTACTAAAACAACTAATGGCCTATACTCGCATTGCCTAACTGGTTGACAAGACAATAATTTCTGAAAATAGTTCGAGAAGCAAGAGGACTCCACACCGCCCCTAATTCGAGTAATGAAATACATAGTAGCAAAGCCCGATTAACATAACACAAGTACCTTCGGAGTTGTTCTCAGTTCCAAATACACGACATTTTCAGCTGCAAAATCTTCAACTACCTATCAGCCATGACAGGGAAAAATTTTATTCCTAATATCTGCAGCACAATCAAAATGATCATCCGAGGGAATCTTTTATACCTCCTTAGTAATTTTTGTAACAGTTTTGTGGTCAGTAGTAATAAGGTGGATCAAATCGAACAACTTGAAAACCTCAACCAGTGAACGATCATCTGAAAATGATTTAGACTAAGTCAGTTCTGGTCTATCTCAGAATATTCAGGAACCAAATTTAGAGATTGCAAAACCAAGTGACAAAATGGACATACGTTTTAGGATGACCTGCTCAAAATCTGAGAAAACTATAGTTCCCTTATCTCCCAATTCTCTTGCAAGTTCCCTGCCCATAGAAATCTCAAACCAATAGGTGTTATTTTGAGTCAACACATAACAACAAAAGAACACAAAAAAAAAAAAAGAGCGAAAAAAAAACTTTCATTTTCTACTTAATACCAACATAGTAGCAATTAGTCAAAAGTTATCCAAAAAGCAGTCAACTTTGAGATGAATTCAGAGACCAAGTATGAAGTTAGATGAAGTGAAGTTAATAAGCAAAACCCAGGTGCCCTTTTACTTTAATTATCATCAAACAATCAAAATCAAGAAACCAACAGCCCGAAAATTGTAGCATTCGGAGAGACAGAAAAGGAGCATACAGCAAAGTGGAGTCCCGGATGGAGCCATTAAGATGTGCGTGTAGTTCAATCTTTGGCATAGTTTTCCACCATTCTTCCATCTCTTTCTGGTGGGATGCTTTTTTTTGTTGGTTGTCTTGGGTGAGAGAGATTTCTGGTTCTTGATTTGAGCAGGCCTGACGGTTTACTTCAGCGGGTGGAGCACGGTAAATTCAGGCGTCACAATTAGCTCTGTTTGTTTGACACTTTCGTCGCGGAAGAAAAAGTGAAGTGAAGTGGAGTGAAATAATGGAAAAGAAAATTAACTTTTTGGCATGTGCTTGATTAACAAGAAAATGATGCAAAAAAAAATATAAATTTTTATGTTTGTTTAGCCAGAAAGTCACGAAAAAAATTAGTGAGTGTGTTCATTAATTAGAAAATATTTAATATTGAACTTCTTTATTTTTTGTATTTAATATATGTAAAAACAAGCAATAGTTATCATAGTTTGCATATTGGAAGAGTTGTTTACTTAAAAATTAATCAGGTTCTTTAACAATAAGCTTAAGTTTATGTGTGTGTGTGTGTGTGTAAGTTATTTCAAATATATATATAAACATAAAAAAAGGAGCTTAAATGTAAAAGAAAAAAAATACTAATGCCATATGAATTCAATAAATTACTAATTCATTAATTATTAAAATAAGAATAGCATGTCTAACTACAAAGCCGGTTTTGAATTATAAATTCTAAAATACTCTAATTTATGTAGAAATTTAAAGTGGAGAAAATATTTTAAAAAAAAGGAAATTGTTAAAAAAATCTGATTAATTAAAATTTTCCCGTGACTCACTTTCGTATCAATTTTAGTAAGAAAATTTTATAAAAAAAAAAAATGAGCGGTTGCAGGAAAA